TATATAACATGGCATATACCATTTAAAAGAATACAGTTCAATAACTGTAGATTCACATTGTTGTGTGACCATCACCATATCTGTTTCTAGGACTTTGCCATCATCTTGAAATGAAACAGTATGCTCATTTAATAACAGCACCCTATCCCCCCTCCCCCCAGTTCTTGGCAGCTGCCACTCTGTTGTCTATGAATTTGCCTACTGCAGAGTTCTTTCTTTCATTCTTTTATTTATTTTTAGTCAGCCTTGAACTCACTCTGTAGCCTACCTGGCCCCAAACTGGTGGTTTTTCTCCTGCCTCAGCCTCTCAAGTGCAGGGATTACAAGTGGTACTACCATGTCCAGGTTCTCAGGTATCTTACATAAATGAGATATACAATATTTGTACTATTGTGCTAATTTATTTCACATTAACACAGTAACTTCAAGCTTCATCGATGTTGTAGCATGTAACAGTTTCCTTCCAAGCAGATTTATATTTTGTTGTATGTGTATACCACATTGTGTTTATCCATTCATGTGTCAAGAAACATTTTGGTTATTCCCATATTTTGGCTGTTGTAAGTGATACTGCTGTGATCATTGGTATTTAACTATCTGTGAAGGTTCCTTTTTTTCATTCTTTTGGGTATATACTAGAAATGGAATTGCCTTTGGGATGCTTAAGGTAGAACGTCAGGATGATTGGGTTTGGAATCTGACCCAGGATCAATTAGAGTACACTTCTGGGTATATTGGGGTGGGGTCATGAAGGTGTGACCTGCTCTCTGCTGCTGCTCACCTGGTCGGCTGCCGCCGTGAGCTAAGGCCCTTTGCTTCCCCAGCTCCATCAACCATATGGCCTTGGAGCCAGCTGAATATGTAGTCCTGTGAAACCATGAGCTGAGTTACCTCTCCTTTAAGTTGTGGGTTTTGGGTGTTGTGTCCCAGCAAAGGAAAAGCTGACTAATAAGGCTAGTACCACAGTGCCTGTAACATTTTATATTACTGTCTTCTACATTTGTATTTTGTTTAACAGATTTGCTTGGTATTCCACCATCCTAGATTGTGAGTCTATAGAAAGACTATATATGTTTAAAATTTTAACAGCTGAGGAAGCAAAACAATGCAATAATAAAGCTTTCATTTCATTTAAACAGTTTTTGGTTTGTTTTTTTGTTTTTTTAAACCAGGGATCAAACTTGCGCTTACTAGGCAGGTGTTTATTCCACTGAGCTGTCTCCCTGGCCCTTTTAATTTCATTTAAAATACTTATTTTTTGTGGTACTGAGGATTGAATTCAGAACTTTTGCACTGAGCTATCTTTTCAGTCCTAGCCAGGATCTTACTAAGTCACTAATTTGACTGGGCTGGGTTTGAGCTTGTGATCCTCTTGCCTCAGCTTCCCAGAATACCCATCTTCCCAGGCAAAAGATACTATGTCTAGCTCAAGTATTTATTTTTACTGATCACATAATATTCTAAAAATTAGGGAATATATTTTAAAAATGCAAAGAAAGAAAATGTCACCTATAATCTCTCAGAGAGACATATGTTGGCTTATTTTCTCTATAGTATATTTAGATAATTATAATTATACATTACATATTGTTTTATTATATAGCTACTATAGCTAAATCTTCCAGGGTTCATTTTTGTTGTATTCTGTTTGCTTTTGAGCTTGGGAATGAGCACATGATTCAGTTGTAGTATACTTTTTGTTGACCTCTCCTTGGAATGCTCCCGTGGCAGTAGTTATCATTTGGAGTGTGAATAATACCACAAGAAAGGAAAGCATTGAGTTGCTTTTACCTTTCTTACGATGCTAGTTAGGCACTGCTGAATAGTTATTAAGGTGCATGCCTATCTGGGAAGCCTGAGTTGAGCAGGCCCAATTAAAGATTCTTCCTTATTAGCAGTGCCCCCTTCTTTAAGTGACTCCTTCACATCTTACTATTTGAAGTATCTGAAATGCTCTGTAACCTTTGGAATGGTGATTTAAATGAAATTTAGATGAAGCCAGGCATGGTGGCACATACTATAATCCCAGCACTTGGGACACTGAGGCAAGAGGATTGATAGTTCAAGACCAGCCTGAACTGCATAGTGAGACCCTGCCTAAAAAACAACACCAAACAAAAAACGCAATAACAGTCTATAGTCCTTTAACTAAAAATCTAGACAGAACAAATACATTAATGTTTCTGTTTTACATTTAGGCAAATTTAATAGATATCATAAAATATCAGCAGTGTCCTAAAACTTTTTTTTTTTTTTTTTAACCTTGTGTTTTTAAGTGATAGGCCCATGGTTCTTAAGTCTGATGTAGATTTTATAAGACACCAAATCCTAGTTAACTTTTAATGATTCTACCTGGCTTAGTTTATTGACTTGGCAGGGTACACTTTATAATTCTTTAAATGGATAGAATCATGATACTTAGTATGTCCTTTTGTTTGTTTTGCAGTACTGGGGATAAATCTAAGGGCTTCACACCAAACCACATCCTTGTTATGGCTTGTGTTAGATATCCCTTCAAAGCCTTGTGTGGTCATAGGTGGGGCTTTTTCACAGGTAGCTGGATCTAGAATATGTGCTGATGGAATTGATTTATGGTACAATGCTAGGATCAAGGGTACGAGAGTTAAGAATGTGAGGGTTAACCTGGATAAAATGTAAGGGTTAGAAAGAGCTGTTATTGTCCCTTGCTTGCCTGTTTTGCTACCTCTAGTTTGTCTGAACTCTCCTCTGCAGTGCCTTTCTGTCATGTGCCATCCTGTCTTGGAGCCAGCTTCCTTTAACTCTGGGTGTTGGATATTTTGTCTCAGTGAGAGAACAGTAACTAAAACAATTCTGCCTTTTATTTTGTTGGATTCACCATCTTGATAACTTGCTGAGTTGCCCAGACTGGACTTCAACTTGCTGTCTTACCTCAGAATTCCCAGAGTGCTGAGATTACAGGTGTGTGAAACCACGCTTGGTTAGCACTTTTTTTTTTTTAAATACTAACAGAGGTGCCCCTGCCCCTAGGAAAATGTAGTGATTAAATACCTCAACACTATAATCAAATCGTAGGGACAGTGATAATTTTGAGTTAATCAGAACATTGTGATGGTATATACATTACAGTGTGTTGCCATAAGATAGAAATACTAGACGATCAATTTAAGGACCCAGTCCTCTTCAGTATGGTATATAGTGTGCCCTGGAGTTTTGGTTTTTCTTTCAGAGTGATGGAGATCAAACTCAGAGCCTCATGTTTGTTAGGCAAGTGCTTTACCACTGAGTTGCATCCATAACTCATAATGTTTGCTTTTGAGGAGATTGTAAGACAGAGATGGTTGGAGAACTTGTTTTCTTGTATTCTTTTGTACCATTTGAAAGTGTTTTAGATCATGATGTTATGATTTATGTCTGCATGTCTTTCCAAGGCCTCATGTGGTCAGACGTGGGGCTTTTTCAAAAAAAAAAAAAAAAAAAATGGGTGGATCTAGAGTGTGAGACTGGAATTGATTCTTGGTGCAGTGCTAGGCTTAAGGGCACTAGGATTAAGGTGTGAGTGCTACCTGCCCCAAGTAGTCCCAGTAAGGTAAAAGGGACAGAAAAACCTTGTTAACGTCCATTGTTGCTTTGCTGCTTTCTCTCTGCCATGAACTGTTGCCCTTATGCCAGGTACCACCCTTCCATGGAGCCAGCTAATTATGTCCTAATATCTCTACACACTGTGAGCTACCTAACTGTCTTCCCCTTTCACTTTGGGTGTTTTGTATTTCGTATCAGCAACGAAAGAAAAGTAAGGCACATGGTTATGCGTTTTTGCTGTCTCCTCAGTCCTTTGCCTGTCCCCGCAAACAGTGTTCAGAAATGTAGATACATATTCATTTATCCATACTGTCAGGATACTCAAATGTCGTTCAAGTAATCTGGCTGTACAGTGACAGAGAATAGTATATTTTGATGTGTTTACCCTCAGCGCATATATGGTATGAATCTTAGGACTTATAAGCAACTGCTCGCTTGCATCCTAGTTGCTCCTGCTGGAAAAAAAATCTCTCGGATATTGTGGGAACTGAGGCATTGCCTAAGCATGCTCAAGGTGCTCTTTACATGGGCTAAGGGGTGTTGAGCGCGGCTCTCTTGGCTACTTTTAGATACCTAAGAGGCTGGGAGGAAGGAACTTTTTGAAGTTCTAGTCCTCATCAGGAAACCCTGTTTTTATCCTATTTCAGTTGCCAGTGGTGAGAGCCAGAATGGAAGTTCACTTGGCATGATATGATTTTGTGCTATGTCGACCACTAGAATGCCTAGATATTTTTTTTAACCTTAGAAAAATTGGAACCTTGACCAGGATTCTTTATATAGAGCTCCGTAAACAGATCAAGTTTAGATTTTTGTGTGGAGATATATCCCTCTACTTGTAGGGTACCATTTGAGCTAATTGCAACTTGTGTGAACAGTGTAGTCATCTACTTACCACCAAGATTGAGGTGAACTGCCTTATCTTTATATGATAAATTTTGTAAATGGGAAATGAAATGTGATTAGAGAAATTAAAAACAGAACATATTTTCTTTTATGATTTCATGCAATAACTCTTAAGCAGCATTAACTGCTTAAAAGCCACTTAAGATTTTGCCCACCATAGGTTCTTCAGGGAACGTCACCATGCTGTCAGTATGGCTTCATATGACAGTTGTTTTCTACAAAGATGGGGTGTTTTGGGTATCCTGGGAGTAGAAGTAAGACAGTGGCAAGGTAAAGAGAGTGCTTCTGAATTTTAACATAATATTGCATACACATTCCTGTTTGAGAATTGACTATTTTTAACAAATTAATAACTTAGTTTTAATACCTGAGGGAAATATCCCCATGAGGAAAAATCCTGGTTATACCCAGGTTGCATATGTTTAGCATCTGCTGTCTGGTTATATAAAACATGTGGAACAGATAAATCAAATCTAACTAGTAAGTGGGCAGGACGAGTAAATGCGTGGTTCTAGCATATTGTGCTCTTGTTACAGGAAAAGGCTCAGGTTTGAAACTAGAGAAGGATTGCCGGGGAAAGTAAATCATCTACTTAACCAAAGGTAAGTCATTTATTCTGGAATTAGCTTTTAATTGAGAGGCCTTTCTTTTAAGTCAGTTTAATAGTTATTTAATTTTTATTTTTTATTGGGATCACTTTTATGTGTTCTGGCAGAGATGTCAGCTTTTTTATAGGAATTGCTTCAAGTCAAAGTCATGGTGGATGTAGGAAAATGGCCAATCTTTACTCTGCTCTCACCGCAAGAAATTGCATCTATTCGAAAAGCATGTGTCTTTGGCACCTCAGCCAATGAAGCGCTGTACGTCACTGACAATGATGAGGTAAGACTGCAAAATGGGGTTTAGTGTTATGGCTTCTTTTGGGGCTGTGCTTCAGAGCACGCAGTTTGAAGAATGACAAAAGCTGTGGGATAAAAAGAAACTGAAACTTAGGAAGGCTGTACCTTTGATAAAATTTTTCTTTCTTTAATTTCTTGATCTGATGCTCTTCTGCCATATAATGTAGACAAATAGTGTAAAACTTAAGTAATGTTAGCAGAGTTTGAATTTTTCTAAGCAACCATATCAGTCTCTTCTTACCTGCTGAGCTATCATATTGAATTTGAGTGTGCCTTAGAGAGAAAAGGAGGTGGATTTATGTTTGTTTGCTTGCTTGTTTGCTTTTTAATTTTTGATAGGGAGATTAAGCCCAAGGGACTCTACAATGACCTACATCCCAAACCCTTCTTAAATTTTTTTATCTTGAGGCAGGGTCTTCCTAAATCACTAAATTCCTGGGACTGGACTTGAAATTGTGACCTTCTGGTGGGATTACAATCCCAAGAATACTGGGATTACAGGTGTATACCATGGTGCATGGCTGAGAAACGAGCTTTCAGTATAACTGCAGGTCAGATAACTCAGATGAACTATTTGTTCTGTAGGTCTTTGTGTTTGGACTGAATTATAGTAACTGCCTAGGAACTGGAGATAACCAGAGTACACTTGTACCCAAGAAGCTAGAAGCCTTATGTGGAAAGAAGATTAAAAGCCTTAGTTATGGGAGTGGCCCCCATGTTCTTCTTAGCACTGAAGGTAAAAAAGAACAAATCTAACTTTTCAGTTTGCTGGTAATCAAACAGTTGAAGCTAAGCCAAGGGGGAGGTAGGACTATATTCAGTAATTAATTTTGGATTTTTTAATTTCTGAGGGAAATGCGAACCAGGTAAAAGTTAAATACTTAATGCTAACTCTGGAATAGCCACAAAGTGTCTTGCACATTGGGCAAACTTCTGCAGTTTCAAACTGCTTATGTAAAGTTGTAGAAAATTGCATGTGGCAAAGAATGTGGACTTTCCAGCTTGATTTCTCAATAAATTTGTAATTACTAGGCAATTGGGAGGATTTTCTTTTTTTTTTTTTTCAAAATTTTATTGATAAACAGCAATGAGACAGTTTCAAATCAAATCAGAAGTACAGATTCAACAAATAACACACTGCATATATTCTTCTTTGGGAGGATTTTCTTGATGCATTTTTATGAATACTTAATATTGGTTTGTTTCCTCTCCCCTCCCCTCCCCTCTCCCTTTTTCTCCCCTGACCCCTCTTCCCTTCCCTTCTTCCCTTCCCCCTCCTTCCCATCTCTCTTCCTCTCTCTCTGTCTCTTTCTCTCATTTTTGAAAGTTTGAGAAAATCTTAGTTTATCCTAGGCATTCATGTGAGGTCCCTACTGAAAGAATAGGGATGTGTGTGGATAGAGGATAGATTTGTGTCCTGTCTTCTCTGCTTCTAAGAACGCTAAAGGGGAAGAATAGACTTTTTACAGTAATTTATCTATGCTGTGGGCAACCAACCATCTTGAAAAGCTTGTTCCATGTTACCTAAGTCTTTGCTGTTGTGTTTTAGGGCATTATCTCTTGCACTCTTACCCAGAGGACTGCAGATTATATCCTTTCCCTTTTCAAATAGTTAGTTTTACTAGTTCTGCTGTCATCTAGTGTGAGCTAAGCATTTAAGGTTTTCTGAACACACACTGATTTTAACTCATCCTTATATACTGAGGCACATTTTTTGTAGTTACTGGTATTTTCAAAGTGGTGACCTTAGGAAAGTATAACTTGCTTTTTGGTTTTTAGAATTTAGATCCTACCACTTTAATTATCTTAAGTGTTACATTTATGATATAAAAACATTTGTGGGCATATTTTTTCTTTTTGTGTTTAATTCAGTTTTGAGTCTCATAATATATTTTGCATAGTACACATTAAATAGGCTGTATGTTGTGTGCCTTATATATGCATAATATATATTCATGTGTTTTATATGAACAGCCTAATAGTTTTAAAAATAACACTTTAAGCCATCAAATGGTATTAGCTTTTTAGTGAAAGTCAGAATTGCTCTATCCCCAGCCCTCCTCTCTCCTAGTAATTACTCTTTAGAAGGAACCACTTTTTGTTTGTTTGTTTTGTTTTTGAGACAGGATCTCCATAGGCTTGCCATGAACTCCTGGTGTATCCCGGGCTGGCCTTGAACTCATTGTGTAGCCCAGCCTGGCTTTGAACTTACAGTAACTCCCCTGCCTTAACCTCCCAAGAGCTGGGATTATCAGCAAGTGACACTATGCTAGTTTAGGAAGAACCACTTTTAACACTTCCAGATGTTTCTTTTGGAATTTAATTTTATATTTTGAAAATAATATACTTCTATTTCTGTTTCTGAATTTCCAACTTTAATTATTATCTTTTGAAGAGTTAAGATATATCATGCACAGGTACAAATTCCCTATGATGAATGTTACCATTATATCAAAAATTTACCAATAAAAAATAGTTATAAAAAAAGATGCTATCTTTTGATTTTTTATAATGATACAGAACTTAACTCTCCTCTATCTCTTCTCCTTTTGATATACTGATATTACCATTTTAGCTAAGTCTGTATTTATATCATTATTAGTTATTATTAGTATAAGGATTATTTATAACAGCCATCTCATATACAACTATTTGTTTTCCTGAGGTTCATCTTTACTTTAGGTTTTCATTAACTTGTTTTTGTACACATCTGCCATTAAAGTGTGTCCACACTTTTAAAACTGCTTTTTAATTTTTGCTAAATTTAGTTGTATTTATTTCATTAAACAAATAGAAAAATCATATATTGAAAGTAGACAGTGCCATCTGTTGCTGTTTATATTGTGAAATTACCATATTCTTCCTTAGTAACATTTGTATCACCTAGCACAATTACCTTTTGTGTGATGTCTTAGTTACTTTTCTCCTTGCTGAAACAAATATACCCAACACCCAAAGTTACAAGAGGAATGTTTATTTACCTCACAATCTACACATGGCAGAGAAGCAAAGGTTCATGGTGGCAGAAGACAGCAGAAGCAGTGAGAGAGAGGCAGGCAGGCAGGCAGGCACAGAAGCCTTGCCCGCTCTTCTACAGAAGAACAAAGTGCAGTCCTGTTGCCTTGTGGTAGCCTGGGCTGGTCACTTGGTAGACCTACTCGGCACCATCACGCCCAGATCTTCTGTTCAGCAGCAGCCTCTGAGTCCCTTCACTTTGTCCTTTCTGGTTCCTTGTTTTTATTTATTTTATTTTATTTTTTTGAGACAGGATCTTCCTGTATAATTCAGGCTGCCCCTGAATTCACTGCATAGCATAGCACAGGCTGGCCTTGAAGTTGTGACAGTCCTCCTACCTCAGCCTCCCAAGTGCTGGGATTGCAGGCATGCACCACCATGCCTGGCTTGGTTCCTGTATTTTTGTATTTTAATGACATCCTGCTTGGATCACACCCTCATTTGGGTGAAACATATCTTTTAGTAGTTTCCCAAGAGAGGGACGTGAGAGTAATCCTGGAGACTTTCCTAAATGTCTTTATTCTTCCCTTGCTAATGTCTGTCAGTGTTTGACTGGGCATAGAATTATAAGGTGAGAATCCTGTTTTTTCAAAATTTTGAAATTTTGGTACATTTCTAAGTTTCAGAGTTGCTGTTAAGAGTCTGGTGCTTTTCTTGAGTTTTGCTGTTCTGTGTGTGCCTGTTTTTTTCCTCTAATTTTTTTTCAGTATTCTAAGTGTTGTAAAATACTGATGAGTATATTCAGGTATTTTATAATTTATAACTTGTTTTGTTTTATAATCTATTAGTCATCCCATAAACCCTTCAATCTGGTTATCCCTTCATTTCTAGAAATGTTTTTGTAACATTTTATGGATAATTTGACATGTTTTCTGTGTGCGCCGTTTGAAATTTTTAGAAGAAAATTAGAGATTCTAGCCTGATTTTCCTAATTTTATTTATTTATTTTGTATTTTCCTTCATGTCTGTGTTTTGGGGTATTTCTTCAACTTAGTCTTAAAACCCTCATACCAAATTCTAACAGTTATAATGTTCTATTTCCAAGTGCTCTCTTGTATTCCCTAAATGATCCTTTTTAGAGCTTCCTGGTAGTGTTTCATGAATCAGTATCTTTTCTAGGAGGCTGTTTGTAATTATAGGTTATTCATTATTTTTAAAGGAGAAAATTTTGTTTTGGCTCACAATTTGCAGTGCTTCAGACCATTATCTTGGCTGGCCCCAAGGCAGGGCATCATGGCAGAGGAAAAACAGCTCATGGCATAGCTGCAGGAAGCAGAAAAAGAGATCAGGGGAGCTGCAAGGGAGGTATACCCTCTGAGGCCACTCCCCCAGTAACCCGTACCTCAGAGTAGGATTTAGCTCCCCACAGCACATTTAGCTGTAGACTCATCAGTGGACTGAACATCAGTGGAGTATCACACCCCATGATCCAGTCACCCCCCAAAAGCCCTGCCATAAACCAAAACATTTTGCTCCATGTTTCTTTTTTATGTAAATTGTATTTAGTCCATCTCTTTTTTAAGGGGGGTGTGTGTGTGTGTGTGTGTGTGTGCAGGGTCTCACTATGTAGCTAGGACTTGGAGAGATTCTCCTATTTCTGCCTCCCTAGTGCTGGCACTGTGCCTGGACTCCATCTCTGGCTCAGTGTCTTGGGGGTGGGGCTGGCACAGCATGCAGTGCCAGGGATCGAACCCTGGCCTCTGTGCTTACCTAAGCAAGTGCTTAGTCCACCGAGCTATATCCTCAGCCCTTAGTCCATCTCTTAAGAGTTGCCAAAGTTCTCTCAGTTTCAGCATTGTTTAAAAGTCCACGTCCAGAGTCTCCTCTGAGCTTTAAGTAAGTCAAACTCTTTGCTGTGAACTCCTATAAAAAATGAATAAAAAGCTGGTGATGATGGTGAATGCCTGTAATTCCAGCACTGGGAGACTGAGGCAAGAGGACCACAATGAGTTGGAGGCCAGCCTTGACTACATAGTGAGTTCAAGCTATTTTATTGCAAGACAAGGTCATGAATATGCATGTCACTATTGAAAAATGCTTTTCTGTTTTTTTTTTTTTTTGGGGGGGGCGGAACCAGGGATTGAACTCAGGCCCTTGCGCTTGCCAGGGAAACACTTATTCCACTGAGCCATCGCCCCAGCCCTGAAAGATGCTTTTCTCTTTTGGAAAGATACCTAAAGGGGAACAGCTGGGTTAAATGGAATACCTAGTTTTAGTTTTTTGAGAAAATTCTGTAGATTTCTGTGGCGGTTGTCCCAGTTTACACTATGACCAGCAAGAGAAGGGCTTCTTCCCCTCAGCCCCAGTCTCTCCAGCATTTGTTATTGGTTGATTTCTTGCTCATATGTATTCTTTCTGGAGATGGAATCTTAGTGGGGGTTTTTTGTACCAGGGCTCAAACTCAGAACCTTGTGCTTGCATGCAGGCACTTATGCCACTGAGCTCTCTTCGTAGCTCTTAGTGTTGTTTTATTTCATTAATCAATTAATTTCTGTGCTGAAGATTGAACTCAATCTTAGTGTTGTTTTAATTTGCATTTTTTGAATGACCAGAGAAGGACATCTTTACTCTTATCTCACCAAGCAATTTAAATTAGCTCACTGTTCAGCCATGTGAATGAAAAGCACTTGGGCTGTTATCGTAAGTGTCTTGGTTTATTTATGAGGCAAATTAAATAGAACATATACCTAAAAGTTAACACACAGAAATACACACATTAAC